TCAAGCTACCATCCTCCGTATAATCCAAATGTCTCTAATCAACCTCCGGTCTACCCAACTGATGAAATTATGGCTGCAAACAAGCAAATGATGGAGTCATTAAACAAGCAAATCATGGACTCCAACAAGCAACTCTTAACATCTTTGCAACCTACTCTTCAAATGGTTCACTCTCATACTCAATCCATAGCTAAGCTCGAAAATCAAGTGGGCCAAATAGCTAACTCTATGAACCAATTGCTTCAAAAGGACAAGGGTAAGCTTCCCGCTCAACCATTTAAAAATCCTAAAGGGATGCATGCCATTGATGAAACCCTTCCATCGAGTGGGCCGAGTCATGAGCATGTTCAAGCGATTACCACCCTTAAGAGTGGTAGAGTGGTTGACAACAAGGTTGATGGAGACAAAAATGGAAAAGAACCTCCTTTGAGAAATCCAAATTCAAGCTCTTCCAATCAAATTCTAAGCTCTTCTTATCCAAATACCATTCACGGAAATCCCACACATGTTAACCCAAATGTGGAAACTACTTATGAGCCAAAAGCTCTGTTTCCGCAACGTCTTCAAGAGTCAACACACATTGGGAACAAGAATTGTAAAATTCAAGACATGTGGGAAGTTTTCAAGCAAGTGAAGATCAACTTGCCCCTCTTGGATGCTATCAAGCAAATTCCTCCCTATGCGAAATTTCTCAAAGACTTGTGCACTCAAAAGCGCACTTCTAAAAGTCATTTGCCAACGAAAGTGAGGTTGACTAAAAATGTTAGTGCTATCATTCAGCACAGCACTCCTCCAAAGTATAAGGATCCGGGTGCCCCCACAATCTCTTGTGTCATTGGTGACAACAAAATCGAGAGGGCCCTCCTTGACTTAGGAGCTAGTGTGAATTTAATTCCATACTCAGTTTACTTACAGCTTGGCCTGGGAGATTTAAAGCCGACTTCCGTGGTTTTGCAACTTGCCGATAGATCGGTCAAGCATCCACGAGGCATTCTTGAGGATGTTATCATCCAAGTGGACAAATTCTACTTCCCGGTAGACTTTGTGGTTCTTAACACGGAACCGGTCCACGATCCAAAAAAGCGTATTCCAGTGATCCTTGGTAGGCCATTCTTAGCTACGGCTAATGCATCAATTAATTACCGAACCAGGGTGATGGACATTGCTTTTGGAAACATGCAAGTCAAACTCTATATCTTTCATGCAACTCAACATCCTTCCAATGAGGATGATTGTTTTCTTGTTGATGTCATTGATGAAGTGGTTGAAGAATCTCTCCCCTTCATTCTAAGCATGGACCCCCTTGAGACTTGCATGTCTCATTTCGACTTCTTAAACTTTGATATTGACCAATCCATCCAAGAAGTTAATTCTCTGCTTGATGTCGACGCTATCATGGATTTTCCCCCTTGAAAAATTCCAAGAGAGCCGCTTCCTCAGCTTTCCACTACTCCTCCGATTCCGTCTTTGAAATCTCCAGCGCTACTTGAGCTTAAGCCGCTCCCAGCCTATCTCAAGTATGTATTCCTTGGTTCAAATCAAACTCTCCCGGTCATCATTGCATCGGATCTTCTAAAGGACCAAGAAACTAACCTTTTAGCGGTGTTACAAGAGTACAAAGAAGCTATTGGTTGGGCAGTGGCTGACTTGAAGGGAATTAACCCCTCCATCTGTATGCACCGCATTCATATAGAGGATGACGCAAAGCCTACTAGAGAGGTTCAGCGCCGGTTAAATCCTAACATGAAGGAAGTGGTAATGAAGGAAGTAATAAAATTGTTAGATGCGGGAATCATCTACCCCATCTCTGATAGCAAGTGAGTAAGCCCCACACAAGTTGTTCCCAAGAAATCCGGTCTCACCGTTGTTGAAAATTCAGCGGGTGAGCTCATGCCACAACGAACCGCCACCAGGTGGCGTGTGTGTATTGATTACCGAAAGCTCAACTCGTCAACTAGGAAAGATCATTTTCCATTACCATTTATTGATCAAATCCTAGAAAGGCTAGCCGGCCAAAGTTACTATTATTTTCTCGACGGTTATTCCGGCTATAACCAAGTGGCAATCGCCCCTCAAGATCATGAGAAAACAACATTCACATGTCCCTTTGGAACTTTTGCATATCGACGCATGCCTTTTGGGCTATGCAATGCTCCTGCAACATTTCAAAGATGTATGATGTCCATATTTTCCGATATGGTTGAAAAATTCTTGGAAGTTTTCATGGACCATTTTTCTGTCTTTGGCTCATCCTTTTATTCTTGTCTCAACAACTTATCTCTTGTACTCCAAAGATGTAAGGAGACAAATCTAATTCTAAGCTAGGAGAAAAGCCATTTCATAGTCCAAGAAGGCATTGTTCTAGGTTACGTCATCTCTAAACGGGGAATCGAGGTAGACAAGGCAAAAGTTGAGTTAATTTCTAATCTTCCTCCTCCGAATTCCGTCCATCAAATCCGTTCTTTTCTTGGCCATGCTGATTTTTATCGCCGCTTCATCAAAGACTTTAGCAAAGTCTCACGGCCCTTGTGCAATCTCTTAGCCAAGGATGTTCCATTCGATTTTGATGAAGCTTGTATGGAAGCTTTCTTTAAACTTCGCACTCTCCTCTCATCTGCCCTAATAATGAAACCGCCTAATTGGTCTCTTCCTTTTGAGATCATGTGTGATGCATCCGACTATGCATTAGGCGCGGTTTTGGGCCAACGTATGGACAAGCTCCCATACGTCATTTATTACGCTAGTCGAACTCTTTCTGATGCTCAATTAAATTACACAACTACTGAAAAAGAGTTGCTAGCTGTAGTTTATGCCTTGGAAAAATTCCGCTCCTATCTTCTAGGTTCCAAGGTCATAGTTTTCTCGGATCATGCCGCCCTTCGGCATTTGCTATCAAAAAAAGAGACCAAACCCCGCTTGATTCGATGGATACTCTTACTTCAAGAGTTTGACATTGAAATTCGGGATAAAAAAGGGGCAGACAATGTTGTCGCCGATCATCTCTCTCGCTTACTGATTGAAAAATCGTCCGATTTCGCTGTTGTCCGTGATTCTTTTCCGGATGAGCAACTCTTCCAGATTTCCTATGCAAATCTTCCATGGTTTGCGGATATTGTTAACTACCTTGCGGTAGGTAAAATTCCAACTCATTGGTCCAAACAAGAGAAGGACTGGTTCTTTTCCCAAGTCAAGCATTTCTTTTGGGAAGATCCGGAGCTATTCAAATACTGCCCGGACCAGATCATCCGGCGATGTATTCCCGAAGTTAAGACTATAAGCATTCTCAATTTCTCTCATACTCTTGCTTGTGGAGGCTATTTTAGTGCCAAAAAGACCGCTCACAAAGTTCTTCAAAGCGGATTCTATTAGCCCTCCTTGTTCCGAGATGCATATAATTTCTGTAAATCATGTGAAAGATGCCGAAGGCTCGGATCCATGTCCCAAAGAAACATGATGCCCCTCAATTCCATATTAATAATTGAAAATTTTGATGTGTGGGGAATCGACTTCATGGGACCATTTCCATCTTCTTATGGCTACGAGTACATCCTTGTAGCGGTGGATTATATTTCCAAATGGGTGGAAGTCGCAGCCACCAGAACCAGTGATCATAAAGTTGTGATCGAGTTCATTCAATCTAACATCTTTAGTCGTTTTGGTACGCCCCGACCAATCATCAGCGATGGCGGATCACATTTCAGAAATCGCTATCTTAAATCCGTCCTTTCTAAGTATTTTTTCATCCATAAGGTTGCTACACCTTACCATCCTCAAACGAGTAGTCAAGTAGAGGTGTCTAACCGGCAGATAAAGCACATTTTGGAAAAAAACGGTTCGACCAGACCGCAAAGATTGGTCACTAAGACTAGACGATGCAATTTGGGCTTACCGGACGGCTTATAAGACACCCATTGGCATGTCGCCATATCGACTTATCTTTGGTAAAGCGTGTCATCTTCCAGTAGAATTACAGCACCGTGCTTTTTGGGCCATAAAAAGGCTAAATTTTGATCTCAAACAGGCCGACTTTAATCGTGATTTGCAACTGAATGAACTTAAGGAAATCCGAAATGACGCATACGAAAATGCCAAAATCTATAAGGTAAAGACTAAAGCTTTTCATGACAAGCACATTGTTAGCAAGTCTTTCACCCCGGGACAAAAGGTTTGGCTTTTCAATTCCCGCTTGAAACTCTTTCCCGGTAAACTCCGGTCAAGATGGGATGGTCCATACATCGTCACTACTGTCTTCCCTCATGGAGCAATCGAACTCCAAGATCCGGCAAGAGGATCGCTCTTTAAAGTTAATGGCCAACGGCTTAAGCCTTGTATTGACGGCATAGTCCCAACCTGAAAAATAGAGGAAGTCCTCTTGACAGACCCAATTTACGAGGATTGATGCCTGTTCTAGCTTCATCTAGCTATCGACTTTAAATTTAGCACAGCAAGAGAAGCACTTCTTTCTATTTCCAGGCTTCTCTACATTTTCATTGCCTGGGCTTTGAAATTTTCTGGGAAATTGCTAAGGAAAGCCAAAATTTAACCTTATCTGGAATTATCTTAAATTGTGTCCAACAATTCAAACTTTTCAGCTCCATCCGGCAATTTTATTGGATCGTTGGAATGCTTCACATGTGTATGACCTCTATTTTTTTTAATGCATTATTGGAAAATTTTCTCCAAATTCCATTCATGCATTGAAGAGATGTTGGCAAATTGGCAATTTCAGTCATTTCACCCAAGCTTTTCTCACTCGTCAAATTTCGAGCACTCAAAGTCCAAGCTTCGAGCACTTGAAACTTCCATTTTTCAGTTAAGAGCCTACTGTCTCAAGTTCGAGCACTCGAAGTGCACACTTCGAGCGTTCAAAAGTCCATCGAAGCTCACTGCCTCAACTTCGAACGCTCGAAGTGCACATTTCGAGTGCTCGAAACTCATTGCCTCAAGTTCGAGCGCTCGAAGGCCTAACTTCGAGCGCTCGAACCCCCCTTTCCCAGTTTTTAAATCTGATCTCTCTCTTTCCCGCGTCTTTCCAGCTCCTCAACCCACGACCTCCTCCCTCTATTTCCACCTTTTCTCTCTCCCATTACTTCTCTCCTACCTCCCCCACTCCCTCCATCACCCACAACCTCAACCTTTCCACCTTCCTCTCTTCCTCTATTAACTCCTACCCCCCCCCCACTCCCTCCATCACCCACAACCTCAACCTTTCTACCTTCCTCTCTTCCTCCATTAACTCCTACCCCCCCCCCACTCCCTCCATCACCCACAACCTCAACCTTTCCACCTTCCTCTCTTCCTCCATTAACTCCTACCCCCCCTCCCACTCCCTCCATCACCCACAACCTCAACCTTTCCACCTTCCTCTCTTCCTCCATTAACTCGTACCCACATCTCACTCCTCTCCTTCTTCTTCATCCATCCCTTTATATATGACCATCACCCCCACTATTCCTCCTCATTCCACCTGTGCCTTTCTCTACTCTTCTTCCAAGGTATGTCTCTTCCCTCTTTCTCTTCAATCTTTGTGTTTTTTTTTATTACATTTGAGGAGTATGGGCATCAAATCTTTGGAGTTTAATTGTGCTTGTTACTATGCTCTATCATAGAGAGCATTGTGTCTGAAATTTTTTGGGTTTCTTCATAGATTCCTCTCATTCTCACATCCTTTCTTTCTTTATGCATACCAGGTGCTCGCTGAAATTCCCCAACCAAGTTCGCCTCTCCACAGTCTCGTGCCGGCCCTTCCCGTCGTCTTAGACCCTCTGAGGATGTTCCCGTCGTTCCTTATGAATAGCCCCGAGCCCCTTAGCTCGATAAAGAGCTCAATTATGAGCTTCTCTTCCCACTCACGGGTATCTTTGACACTCTTCCCACCACTTCATGGGCTGTCGCGGAGCTAGTTAATTGGCGTCTTCAGCACATTTGCCAACCCGTTTCCAAGGTCACCTACCCCCGTGTGGTGCGGCTCTTCTTCCAGAATCTTAATTGCCCCGAAGAGCCGCCGGTCACTCTCACCACATCCATTGATGGCATTCCTTTTTCCTTCACTCTTGCGGACATGGTGGCAGTCTCTGGCTGTCCTCTGGAGTGCCCCGATGAGATTGTCAATCGTGAGAATCTCCCTTTATATGAGGAGCCGGATACTTTAACTGTGGAGCAGGTTGTCGCTGCCATTTGTAACGTGGATGACCCTCATCGCCCTCGGAGCTTTACCCTCAAATCCACCCTTCCGGACCGAGTTTGGCTCCTTGACTCCGTTCTCAAGCATAATGTTTACCCTTTGGCGCATAGCACCGAGCGCCGAGGCGTGATGTTACAAGCCTTGTATGCCACGGACCAAGGCAAATGGTTCTCTGTCCCAGAACTCATTTGGGACACATTTATGCGGTTTTGGGACGAGTGTATCAACGCACGGCAGCAGCGTCTTAAAAATCGGCCTTTGCCATTACCATTCTTTGTTATCAAGCTCTTGAAGTATAAAGGCTTCATAGTTCCTCCTCATGAACCAAGGGGCAAAAAGATTCAAACTTTTACTCTCCGCCGGTGGACCAATGTTCTAAGCCATTCTCGGAACCCTCGGCTCGCTGCTCCTCCTTTGCCCCACTCTCCATCTCCTCCTTTTTCTGAGGATGACCCCATGGCGGAGGACGCTGAAAGGGACGAGCCTCCTGTTGATCTTTCGCCCGACCAAGCCTTCTTTCGGGCTAGTCTTGCCCGTCTTCATGAGCAGATGGATCGTTTTGAGATTTCTTTAGCCGACTACACTCGGACTGTGCGTGAGGACTACTTCCGTGCTGAAGAAGACCGTCGCCTTACTGTCGACGACCACCGTGTTGCAGCGGAGGACCATCGCATGGCACAGGAGGACTAGCGTGAGACTCAATCCCTCCTCAATGCCATCCTCGCCCGTTTTCCCCCAGTCCCGTAGATAGTTGCCAGTGTTGGACTTTTTCATTTTGTTTCGTAATTGTGTATGTTTCCTTTCTGTTTTTCTTTTACTTTTCAACTTTAGGATTGTGCTATGCACAAGTTGCTCTGGTTCAACATGATTGACTCTCAGTTCTTTTTGTAATCATGTTTTTATGAATGAAAATTCTTTAGCATTTCTGTTATCTTCTTTTCCGAAATTTTCCGTCCATATTTTACTGTTTGTTACTATTTTTGTCGTTGTTCTGCTTTTTCTTCATGTCCCATTACAGGTGGCACATTTCAAGTTTGGGGGACGCATTTTACGCTTTTATATAGCTGGAAACCTTTGCCTTCGTCGCTCCACTAGGTATTTTTGTTCCATTTATCCCCTATGCCCTTTATTTTTCCATCTTTGTCTCCCACATTGAGGATAATGTGTCCTTCCAGTTTGGGGGTGCAACTTGCATTGTTGGTTCCATATTTTTGCTAAGTAATGACAGTATAATTTGAAACTTGGCGAAGATAAAGCATATGTTTAATACCGTGGATATATAAGCAGTTGTGAATTTTTGAAAATAAAGAAGAATGTGATTTTAAAATGATCGTGTGGATTCAAATTAGTTTGTATAAATGTCTCAATTAGATTCTCATTAGATTTTCCATTCTTTTATGCTTCACAATGCACAGATGCACATTGGAAACTTAACCGTGAGGCATGTAACTTGATTAATCGTGATCTTGACCTAGTCAATCTGAATTGATGAACTTAATAGATGGATACCTTTGGTGTGAAAAAAAAAATAAAATAAAATAAAAAATTTGACCAGTTTGAGTTTGTAGCCTTTCCAACTTGAGTTATTAAGCCCTAGGAGTGTCTCTACACTCAACACCCTAAAGCCATCTGGTTTGGGAGTTGTTGGCCTAACGCTTGCTATATGAGTTGGTCAGAAAGCTTAAAAGACTTAGACATTGCACGGTCATTCAAAAATATTTTTATTGAACATGGTTCGTTGGAGTTCGTAGCCTTGCCAATTCGAGCTATTAAGCCCTAGGAGTGTCTCTACACTCAGCACCTTAAAGCCATCTGGTTTGGGAGTTGTTGGCCTAACGCTTGCTATACGGGTTGGTTTGAAAGCTTAAAGGATTTCAGCATTACACAACCATTTTATGTATCATTTTTGAGTTAAAATAAACTGTCAACAAGCAACAAAGTTGTTTGTAATTTAATTCATGCCTTAGGGACTTCATTTAAAATGAAATTCAACGATTTGAAGACTTATGTCTTGAAACTGGAAAAAGAAAGTAAAAGCCGCATGTTGTGAATCCAATCCACTTTCACTGAAGCTAGAGTTGATTTCTAGTCAAGAGATGACAATTGAGTTATTTATATAGACTAGGATGTTGATGCGTGTTTATTGAAATGTGTTTAACCAAATTTTTTGTATCAATGCTTTATATATGCATGGTAGTCTCCTCAATGACCCCGTCTCCAGTCCTGTGTCTGTTTCGAGTTATATTTGAACTATATATATATTTCATTTTGCCATAGTTGATTTTGTGGTAGCATTTCCATTGTTGTCATTTAATTGAGTTTTTCATTTTAGTTTTGCTAAGGGACTAGCAAAATGTAAGTTTGGGGGTGTGATAAGCGCCGAATATTGCATATTCAAGCGCCCTTAGCTGCATTAGTTAAATCCATTATTTGATTATTCTTTATAAATTATCTTTATTTGCACGCTTTTATTTATTTTTAGGTTCATTGGCCAAAAAGGAGCAAAAATGGTGTTTTATTCAATCTTTGAATAGCAATGTGCTCAAGGCTAAGTTCTGGCAGCAGCGGAATCTGACTTTGTTTGCCATTTTTGACCAATCAAACTCGAGAACTGGACTTTCATTTAAACATGACATATTTAGAGCTTCGATTTAACTTTCAAAATCTTCAAACGGTTCGTCATTTTGAGTTCGGAGCAGAAAGTTATGGCTGTTCTACCAAAGTTATGCAAAGCAGGTCAAGAGGAAGGAGCTCACTGGACTAACTTCGAGCGCTCGAAGTGCTTAGTTCGAGCGCTCAAAGTGCTAGTTCGAGCGCTCGAAGTGCTTAGTTCGAGCACTCGAACTCCGGGCAGATTCCTCTCCGGGAACCATCACTTCAGCCCACTTGCACCTTGTTTCTCTCATCTCTGATTTCCATCTTTATGGGTTGGTTAGAGATGTCTTTTGGTGGTTTTCTGTGCCTTGTTTGGTGGAGAGAGATGTCTACACAAAGGGGGGGGGGGGGGGGAACCACACAAACAAGATATATCTCATCTTTACAAGATTTGTGGAGAGAGCAAGAAGAGAAAAAGATAGAGTTCTTGAAGCCAAAAGAAGGGAGCTCGAAAATGGAGGTTGCAACCAAGCTTCTTCCTTCTTCTAAAGCTTCCATGGGTAACTAAACCTTCATTTAGGGAGGTGATGAAGCCCCTCCCTTGTAAACATGTCCTATTATAGTTCTATTTTGGGGATTGCAATGTATAATCTTTGGTCTTTTCATGGTCTAGAGCATCTTGCCTCTTGTAATGGATCTTCATGTATTTAAATGATTAATGTTGAGTCAATTATCTATCTTTGATGGTTTATTCTTTTAATCATGTTGCTTGCACTCTCATAGTGACAATGGTAGTGAGATCATGAAATGGTTTAATGGCATGTTGATAAAGACTTTGATCGATCATTGCTTAGGTGAAACCTTTGATGATTTATACTTATTTCTTACCTTCATGTGCTTCATCATTTTATCTAGGGCTTGATAGTCTTTCATTCAAGTAAATGTGGTTAAGCTACACCTTAGTTAGGTAGTCTAAACATGTTCACCTTTGATGGATCATGCTTGCTTGAGATTTAATGAACTTCTTGAGGATATTATAGCAACCAAGTGTGCTATGTATCATGACCATATATATATATTGTTTTTCCCCAATTTAGCTCTAATCTAGCATGTGTATAGGGATGGAGGCGGATTCACTTCCCTAGTCCTCTTTACTTTTATTTTATCTCCCTTAAACTCTTGCAAACTTTTACTTTATGCACTTTAATTTCATAGCTTAAGTGACAACCAACAAATCCTCTATGAACACCTCTATCATTCTAAAAATACTCTAGACACTTAGGTTGCCATAGATTAGCGCAGTCCCAGTGGTTCGACTTACCCGACCAATAGCCTTATTTTACAATGATTCGTTCTATTGCGAAGGTTGATTTATAATTGTAATCGATTCAACCGACCATGGATCATCACGAAATTGTTTTAGGGCCTTGAAAAATGTGTCTCCATCAATTTGTCCCATGTCTTCTAAGATTTGCAAGCATTCGGTAACTTTCTCGGAGTCTTGATCAACTTGAGACATACCACTTGAGCCTCCACCCTTGTCTAATGCCTCTACCTTTTTCTTAAAATATTCGCCAAATCCACTCACACCAGAGGAAA